AATTATTAATTTATGCATTTATTCAAATAACTTTAGCTTGAAAACAACAGATATATAAAAAATTTGGAAAATTACCTACCATTGGTAGATATTTAAATTAAGTATATTTGTAGCTTTATTTTTAAAATGAATTTATACATATTAATATGAATGCATATCACATTTGTGTTTTTCTAGATATTGATTTTATATCATTCATATGTCTTAGGAGTAGTGATTTGGAGAATTGCTTGGATCAGAGTTAAAGGTGGTGTTTTTCATGAAGTATATAGTTTTAACTGAAAATTTTTCAGTAGATACAAATTTAACAGTTGTCAGTCAAACTTTACTTTGAATAATATGAAGACATTAAAATCTGTGTGTGACAGGTGGTCCACAGTAAATGTCTACTATCTTTGCAGAGGAAATTAAACACATGTAGAATAAAGGACTGCTTTGACAAAGGCAAAAACCCCAGGCTTCTGTCCCTGGAGTTGAACAAAACACTGCTTGCTGTAGTCTGTAGGAAGATTTTCAGAATCTTTTAAAATTTTATTAATCTAATACATAGCCACAGTTTATTAGCTGTTAATAAACTTCTAGGTGATGGTCAGGTTCATAAAGAGGTCAAATCTGCTAAATGTCAGTAAATATTTATGTTGTAAATCTGTGTTAGGAGGTGACTGAAGCAATATTCAAATAACTATCACTTGGCTGACAGACGCAAGACAAGGCCAGTTTATACATCCTGCCTGCTTGCTGTTGTGTTTTGGCAGTATCTGTAATGGAGTGAGTGTTACACAAAATATTTAAACGGGACTTCCTTATTTAGTGTACATCTTTTAAAGGACATAGCACCTTAGTGTTTTTAGAAGACAAAGGAAAAAAAGCTGTTTTCATAAGCAGCTCACAGCTGAAGCATACCAAAGGGAAAGATGCCACAAAAAGTGAATGTGACAAAATTTTTTTTTCTTGCTTCTACCTCTTCGATTTTTACTCTGTTTTCCTATAGACTTTTGTATTTACTTAAAATTTTGTCCTATGCTTTCACCTGTCATTCCTCAGGGAGCACTGCTATTACTGAACTTCTTACTTCACTGACCCCAAGTACCCTTGTCACCTCCTTGCCCTCTGAAGCTGGAGGGTGCTCCAGTAGTATTCAAAGGCTCTGAGAAGTCTATGACTGTGGAGGAGTTCGTTGCTTTCTCAGGGAGTAATCAGCCTTGTGCTGGGCTAGCTGGAGAGCCTCTTTACAGCCTCTCAGCTGGCAGTCCTACTTGCCTCAAAAGAGAGGTCAAAAAAGATGTGTTTGTGCCTGCTGGCTACTGCTAAACAAGGTGTTCTCCAGTTTGGGTTGTTTGGAACGGGAGAGATTGGGAGTGTTCCCACCAACCTTCATAGTATCTCAGCATGAAGTTTTTAACTTCCACTTAAAGGGCAGTGGTGAATGCTTGCTGTTGGTGGTCTTCCACTGTGGATCTGAAAGATCTGCAAAAATTCATCTGATTATATTCTCAGCCTGCTTGGAAGAATGGAGGACTTTCCTCCCAGAAATGTAGAAAAAAATATTTTTACACATTTTTTTTCGTATCTTAATATGGGATTTTACCCTTGTTCTAGTTAGTTTATTTTACTAAATGGAATAAAATACCTTATATAGTTTAACTATAATAGTAGCAATACAGAGACACTCAAAAGGGAAGCAGCCTGAGAGATTAAAAGGTTTGTGAAAGGAAATTGCTGTGTCCAGCTCTCTGCTCCATTACAGAAGTTATGAACAGATGTTACTGCTCTCATGTCAAGAAGTTCATACAACCCTACAGATGCTGTGATACAGTTAAGAAGACAACTCCATAACAGCAGGCTCATAAATGCATAAACTTCATCTGCCTGTGGCAGAGAAGACTTCAGGCCTCCCTGGAGATCTTGAGAAAGGTTTGGTGGAAGACAAGTGCCCTTTTTGTCAAGTTTCTGTATCCATGCACTTTTCAAAGCCATTGAAGATATGTAGCATCTGTATTTTCTCATTTTTCAGTCGGAAATAGATATCCAGCTGCTATTTGTGCCCTAAAAACACCCAACTAATCAGCTGAGGTATCCCTCAGAAATTCTTGGCTCTACCGCATGATTCCCCTGTGTTCTCAACATGAAAAAACATTTAAATTATAAACCTCTCAAAAAATAAGGGATTTTATACAGGTCCTCAGGGAATAAAAAGTGTGCTTATTTACAAAAACGTTTCATGATCCGTATATTTTCTTATTTTTGTTTTTACACTCCATGTCACAGTTTCCTTTCCCACTATTGCACTTTTTTAGGAGGACAGCCTATATTCCAGCATTCATTATTTTGTTTGACATGAACATTCCTCTTCACTTATAGCACCCAGCAGAGAGCCTGATATAAGCGGCATTGGAAGTCCATCTCTCCTTCACCTGTTCTCTCATATTGAATTTATTAAGCAGCAGATGGCCAGGGACAGCATACAGTTTGTCAGATTTGAATCAGTAGACCTCCATGGTGTGTCAAGATCAAAGAATGTTCCTTCTCGGTTTTTTCACGTAAGTTTTTTTGATTTCTAGCTGTATCTTTATTTGTTTTTGTGGCTCTCTCCTTAACTTATATTGTACATTTTTTTCATAGTGCAGGCAGAAACTCAACTTAGAACAAATGATATGTTCCCTCCACTTGTTAGTGTTTGCAAAGGATCTGAGGATCTGGACTTTTTTTGTCACCGCAATCATCTATTTCTCTGTACTCCCAAATAACAGTCTAATTAAATAAGGCTAGTAAATTCAGTTCTTTGAACTTCTAATAATTTCTTTCCTCAGAAGTATCTTTTAAGGTTCAAAGCATTATAAAGATTTTGTTCTATTGAACACGTTTAGAAAATTGTCATTGGGATACTTGATGCTAAGGTTTTCATACCAATCTTGTAGAAGGTTGGTCTACTTCACAATGACACAGTAACTGGCTGTTGTCTTCCACTTTAGTGGTAATTTTAGTGTTCTTTAGGAAAAATACTATTGCTCTTGCTGTGAATCTGAATTTTTTTTGTTCTAAATACATAAAAATTCAGTTGAGTTCTTTTCTCGTTTGGTAATCTGTCATTCTGCTCTGTGTTTAGGAGAAAGCAATTCATGGTGTTGCCATGCCCAGGAGTTATCTCGAGCTGACCCTGAATCCTAAAGATAATGAATTAGATTACATAAATGCAACCAATTTTAATTGTGACATAATCCTCAACCCTGATTTATCAACGTTTCGAATTCTGCCCTGGACTGAGCAGACTGCCAGAGTGATATGTGATTCCTTCACTGTGCTGGGCAACCCGCTAATGACCTCGCCGAGGCATATCGCCAAGAAACAGCTGAGCCAGCTTCAGGACAATGGCTTTTCTCTACACTCTGCCTTCACTTATGAGTTTTGTATTTATGGCATTACTGAGGTTGTAAATTCGAAGACAATATCCTTTCCTGCAGCCACGATACTAAATAACCACGACCAGACTTTCATTCAGGAGCTCATTGAAGGAATGTATTATGCTGGTGCCAACATTGAAAGCTTTTCTTCTTCCAGTGGGCCTGGGCAAATGGAGATCACTTTTCATCCAGCGTTTGGCATAGATGCTGCTGACAGCGCCTTTACATTTAGAACAGGCATTAAAGAGGTGGCTAAGAAGTATAACTACGTGGCTAGCTTTTTCTCAGAATCAGGATTCTACAATTCAGGGGCTCTGTCACATAGCCTGTGGGATTTGAATGGCCAGAAGAATTTGTTTTCTGCTGGTTATGGAATTGAGGAGCTCTCAGATATTGGAAAAAATTGGTTATCGGGTCTCTTGGCACACACAGCAGCTATCAGCTGCTTGATGGCTCCTACCACCAGCTGCCGTAAGCCTTATTCTAAATACAGTAAAGAATCAAAAGAGACTGTAAATGCAAAATGGGCATATAATGATAACAGCTGTGCCTTTAATGTAAAATGTCATGGTGGGAAAGGCACTCTCATAGAGAATAAATTAAGTTCTGCTACAGCAAACCCCTACCTGGTGCTTGCTGCTACTATTGCTGCAGGTCTAGATGGAGTAAAGCGAGGACTTAGGTATGATGACATGCTCCAGGATGAAAATCACACTGCTGATCTGAAACATTCGTCAGTCCCTCTGAAACTGGAAGATGCTCTTGTTGCACTCGAGAAAGATTTGTGCATTAAGGAAGCATTAGGCGAAACTTTTATCCGATATTTTGTTGCCATGAAACATTATGAGTTAGAAACTGAAGAAATGGATAGCGAAAGGAATAAATGCCTGGGGTATTTTATTTAGAAGGAGCTCTCTTCTGTAGTGATGCTGTGTAAGTGCATACAGTGAATGGCTAAGAATCTTGAAATTAGGATATATATTTTAAAATGTTTTTAATGTTTTGAGATTTTTTTCCTCCTTTGTATAGTATGTGGTGATTGCATTTTATTGTCGGTGTACATTCAGGACAGTGCAAAGCTGATATTCATGAAATAACATTAAATAACACTGGGCTTTTAAAAACCAGTAGTTTTTTCAGCTTAAGTGAACAGAGCTGCTGGTGAAAAGAAGAAAAGAGAAGGTGAAATGGAGAAGAGCAACTGTACAACTGTAATAGGCTGTATAATACAGAGAAAAGTAGGAATAATGGGGATGGGGGCGGGGGGGGAGGCAGGAGAACTGGCAAAGGAGTGGAATTTCTTGTTCAGTATAGTTATGGTATTTCTCCCAGCCTATTCAGTAGCTGAAGGGTTGCTAAATCAGAAGAATCTGAGTTTGGTTTGAAACTTAGGCTAGATGAACAGAGAGGGGCAGAGTAGATAGAGAACAGAGTAGAGAGAGGGGCAAAGGACTAAGGCTGCAGAACCTGAGAGTGAGGAATCAGTATCTTAATGGGCATAAATAAAAACGTAAGAGGGATTATAAAATAATTTCAGCATCAGGAGTTCTGCTGCTGAATAAAGTTTGCCAGAATTATAGTGGATAAAGATGCTAAAAGAAATCAAATGGTGGCTTGAAGAGGGAATGATTCATAGAAAGCCAGGAGTGTTCAGCCATTGTGCAAAATGTTTTGATAGTTAACGGGTTAATTCAGAATTGAATGGCAAATGAGGGAAAAAAAGGGCAAAAGAAGTCAGACAAATAAGAGCTTAAGCTAGACTGTGTTGGGAAATCTAGTATTACCAAGGATGAGGAACATGACTGTGAAGAGGTGAACAGAAAGAGAAGGTTAAAACCAGAAAGAATGAGTGAAGATGTGAATTCAGACACTGACAAATCATGGTTAAAACAGAGGAAGAGAAGACCCATACTAAAATTAGAAATGCCAGCTGGTGTAAATAAAAATAAAGGTTTTTGAATGGCAGGAGGTGACTTTTAAATTTGCTCTCTGGTTTTTTTTTTTTTTTTTTTTTTTACTGTTGTTGTTAAAGATAACCCTCATTTCATACCCCGCCTCCACATTAGCAGTGATTTCTGCTGTTCTTTATATTGTCACAATATTTTGATCAATGTGTAGGAATCTGTGAGTGAAAGTGTTTGGTCATCAGTGGAGTGAAAACTAGATTCAGTCAGTGCCTCTGTCAACTTGCCGAACTAGAAGGTGTGAACAGAAATGTGTTAGTTGCCTGCTGATGGATCTTCCACTCCTCCCTCACAGAGTATCCTACATGAAATTTAGCACCTGGTATGCTAAAACTTTGTGTATTCCAAAGAAGAAATCACTTTATACTCAGGTAGCAAGAGGAAATAAATAATCTAAGGAAACATCATAAATAGGTTCCCTTGTCTCAGTCTGTGGTTGGTGGGTGGATCTGCTTCTCTGCCTTACTTACGTGACACATTTTTTTGGGTGCCCCAGATCATAGGACTCTTTTAATCTGCTCCAGGCTGATTTGGGTTGGCAGGTCTAGTCTTGCATTTAAGCAGAACTTCCCATTCAGAAAAAAACGCTTCTCTTTTGCTGCCCTAACCCTTCTTCAGGGGCTCTGGACATCTGTCTTCTGACTTGTTTTCTGCCTTCTCTTCCTGGTTGTTTCCCACTCTCGTCTTCACAAGCTCTCTGCAGAAAACACACACAAAAATAACTTCCTTACTCAGACAGCTTGCTTGCCATGCTCACTGTTTAGTTCCAACGGTCACACAGGTTAATAGCTGTTCCTTGTTCTTCATCTGGCAGGGATGTGAGAAAGCACAACGCTGCGTGTGTGGTGTGTGTTAATGTGATAGGATTTTTGTGTGGTAATAAGCACACTGGCTAAGCACAGCTGTACCAGAAACGGCTATGGAATGTGTCTTAAGCTTCTACAGGCATACTAATCTTAATTTTAAAATTTATCTAGAAGCTGATCTTGAAATAGAAACAAATTCCCACACTGGAGTTTATAAAATCCATTTTCAGTTCTGTAGCTGTTTTTCACAAATTATTCTTAAAAAATGAAGCATATTAAACAAAACATAAGTGAACTCAACCTTCTCAGTGAAATGTCTTATAAAATAGAGTTACATTGCTCTTTCATTTCCTTTGTGACTTGGAAAGCTAACCTGGCATAACACTGACCACATTCTTGAGTTGAAATCTCAGAAGATATTTAAGTTCACTTTCTACATTGTACTTCTTCTGGACCTGATTATAGAGATAGTAAAATGAATGAAAGTATCAGATAAAAACATGTATTTTTCTCTTATTTTTTATATATAGTTGCAGGATGTTATGCTACTTACTATGCCAATTTTCAAACAAATTTTTTGGGGGGAGTTTATAAGGCACTTTGGAGTTTCTCTTGGATTTATAGTTATGTGTCACTGACTTTTTAAGAGATAATAATATAATGAACTCCTATAACTGAATTTAATGAACATGAAGTTCATTGTATACATTATATGTATTATCCATATTGCTTTCTTATCACAGCATTGAAGAAATAAAAACATCAGCGCTAATCCTCTTGCCGGATGCACCCAACTATCTCATTTAATTCAGTTATAGAAAGTAATTATTTAGAAACAAAAAACAACCGACTAGAACTGATGTTCTACAGGTTATCTTACAGCAAGACCAGATAAAACTGCACGTATTTTCTAAGTAGTCCTCAATGTCATAGGCTCTGAAAAGACAGTGAATATATGATTAAATAAAAATGTTTTGTATTTCTGGCAAATGAATCCTCCTCCCCCTTTTTTTTAAAAAACAAAAAGAAGGCTCAAAAATGCTTCTTGAAGCAAGTGTGTCCTAAAGTTGTGTGCATCCCAACCAAATTTTAATGCATATTCTTTAGAAAGGAAAAGATCACTACTTCCTACTGCTCAATTGAAATGAATTACTATTGACTGCTGTATCACAATCATTTCATCTTGAGGTTTTGCCTGAAGATACTCTTCACTGTTCTACAGGTCCAAGATCAATGTCTTGAGCATCACTAGTTAGATAATTTAAATTTGTGCAGTGTTATAACTTTAAAAAAATGTAGTTTTGCATAAGGTGCTGCTGATTTTCCAGGAGACTACAGTCAAACGTTGCAAAACTTTGTATAATAGATTTCTGATACGAATAAAGCATCTTTTACTATTTTCAGCGCTAAGCAGACTGTGTATTTATGTCTTTGTTGACAAAGTGATACTACTTTTGACATTGTTCTATGTCATGACTGCTTTTTCTCCGTGATTGTCTATGCCAGAATTTGGTTCCATAACATGCAGAAGAATTACGAGGAGCGTTGCTATGAACTCCTAAGCCTTTTAACGTACATTTGCAATGACAGCATAGAAAAGGCATTATAGTAGTTTGTAATTCAATATATGCAGGTAAACGAACAGTAGCTAGGCTAGCTATGCTTTTTGTTCAATACCGTTAATAATAATTAAATAAACATTCCTTCAAAATAGTGAAAGGATTTTTTTTTACCAGAAAGTTAGAAAACCTTTTTATCATTAACAGCTAGGGTATATAATGCTTTTTGGGAAGAATATTACGTATTGCATAAGTTGTACAGCATATTTAGAATTTACATAATTATTATACATCAACAAATCTTTTCAATGAAAATAGAATGTAGATGAGTGCTATGAGTTATTATTCATTAAAACACTGGGATACACTTTCTGTGGAAAACTTCCCATTTCAAACTATAAGCAAGACTGTAAGTTTGTGAGAAAGAGATTGTAAATTCACGTGTTATTTTTCAGAAGACATTTATTAGTAAAAACAACAGTTGATCTGAAACTAGTAGCAAACATAAAGATAATCCAATGTATAATTTCAGTGGAACATCAAATGAAGTAAAATTTACAGAAAAATCTAAAAAGAGAAATGGGTAATTAGAAAAGATTCACCCAGCAAAAATGTAAGAATATATAGAGTCGGATTTGACAAGGATCTGCCCTGGAGTCCAGTTTTCCCTAATCACAGAAACAGAGAACCGGCTTATCATATTCAAAAGCACCAAAATTGGCTTTTTTTTTCCCCACTTATGTTAGAGGACAAGATAAAAAGATGGCAGTAACATATTGGAGAAATATTCTGGGAAAAATAATGTACTTGGACAAGGGTAAGTGCAAGATACTAGTTTGAGACAAGGGTGTGAACTGCCTAAGGACGTGTTTGTTCAGAGGGGAGTCTCTTGTGTTCCGTTTCACCAGCTCAGCAATTTCAAAGAAGAGGCACATCGGGAAATATAAACAGGGGTATAGCTTGCAAGAGCCAGAACCTGATCCTTTCACTCAGTTACATTAATCTCAAGATATCATAATAAGGTGCCACACTTTAAAAACATGTAAATTATCGGGAGAAAATCCAGAGGGGAGCAGAGTAAATGATCATAAGTCTAGGACCTATTTACTAGAAAGAACAGAATGACTGTGCTTAGTGTAGGAGGAGGAGATAGGGCACAGGGGTTAATAATGGTTTTCAAGCATGTAAAAGATGCTGCTAAATAGCAGAATGTATTTTCTTCCTGCCCATTGCAGTTAGGATGGACTAACAGACTTGTATCAAGGTAGATTTAGACAAGACAATCTGGAAAGCTTCATAGTATTAAGGAGAATGAAGAAACAAAATTGAAATTTGGAAAAAAAGTGGAGTCTCCAGTACTGGTGATCTTCATGTCACCACCACGCTTTTGACTGGTACTGGATGGATGTCTGTGGAAACTGGCAGAGGTTTGATAAAGGACACCAAAGTGTAATTTATGATGTGCCAAGGTAGTACATCCTTAGGTGCATGATATTTGTAGGTAGAAGAAGCTGGCTCATTTTCCTTGTTTGCTGGGGTGTCATGCTGCTGCATGATTGTGGAACAGCCTGCTGGAGTGTGCTCATAGCTGAGTTTGTAGGAAAGGAAAATACTTTATCTGTTTTAGAAGATAAAAATAACAGTTGGATCGCGCTATTTTTAGT